CCCAGGTTCTACTTTTCCCCACCATCCGAAGCAACCCCACGAAAAAGGTATAATTTTCCACCCCATTCATTATCGTATGGTTAATTAATTTACGGTGTATAGTGCTGCACCTAACAGTAACAACCAATCACAGAATTTTACTTTTTGGATTTTTATATTACCGCATTGTCAATTTCGTCAGACTCCAAGCGAACCGATTACGAAACCTGTTAAATTTTGAAAATGCTAGAAACAATTCACTTGCCAAATGCGAAGCCTACCCCGTGAGATTTCAGGTTCTAACGGCGACGAGTATGAAGGTGACTATAATCTGGGATGTTACACCGAGTAGTCTGCTAGTTACTTAACGATGTCTCGGAGAAACTCATTACTTCCATCATCAGGGCGATCTGTCCATTATGGAATATACATTCTAAATATAATTTTGTAGAATGTGTTCTTAATTAGTTAAAAGCGAACAACAACATTTCGATTTGGAGCAAAGATACCTAACTCAGTAGTGGCATTTTTGTCTGTGACTCTTAGAAAGGTAGTGTGTTGGTTACACAAGAACAAGGATAATCAATTATTTATTTCAGTTCCCGTCCCTTCATAAGCTCAGATAAAGTAGTCAAGAAAATATAAGAAATTTATGTGCCCGTAAGAATAAATTAAAATTACCAGCATTATATTTCATTCATAAAATTCATTGCTCTAAATTTCTAGTGTTATGAATAGGTTGCATCAGAAATATTTTCTCGTGACGTCTTCAGAACCGTCCGTTGAAGAATGAAAGAAGAGAACAAAATGATTACATAAGTTGTATAGAATGGTTTTGTTTTGCGAATTCACCGTGATCAAATAAAGTAGCTCGTCACATCCTTATATTATGTAATTATTGAAGGAAGGGGAGCTTGTTAGCTCAGTACATGCAGTGACGAAGTTATAGGCTGGACGGAAGGAGTTCGATTTTCGGCAAAGTCAGGAGATTATTTTCTTAGCTACCGCTCCCAGACCGTCTTCGAGGCCCTGCCAGCCTCTTATCCAGTGGGTACTGAGAACATTTCCGTGGAGGTATCGCGGACAGGGCGTGAAACTGACCAAAAATCTCCCATTTACAGTCGAGGTTAAGAAGGAATGTATCTACACCCCATATATCATCGTGGCGTGCTGCTTAATGAGTACAAGAGACAACTTTGCCTTATACTTAATATTTACAAAATGAAACATTTTAAAATGCAGTTGTGTGTCTGCATTAATAATGAAATATAAACATGTGGAGCTGTGTTTTACTACGCTCAAGTCTATTTCTTTCAGTTCTATTACTTGTAATAAAATAGTATTATTATCTTGTTCGTAACTAAAACCTTTCTCCAGATTATTTTACTGGAATCAAACGTGACAAGTGAAATAAGATAGAAGGAAATATTTTTGTTGGCTTTTGTTTCATATCTGTCGCACTTTATCACACGTTGCAATAAACAATACTTTTCTTTGTTTTTGGTACAGTGTATACAGAGTAAATTTATTTGCTTATATTGTTTTCATTGATTCTGCAGCACGGATGCCCACGAATTCATTGCCTTTGTTATAATTTCGTACTATTCTGCTGTACAATTAATGATGATAATGGTAGATAGGATTAGTTTTTTTTTACGTTTTAGGCTCGATACAAACAAACAACAGTTTCGTCAGGATGAACACAAATTAAGTCCTGTTTTAGTTTGCTGTATTTAGAATCTGGTAAGAATCAGTAACTTAAACAAGAATTAGGATTTATTGACTTTTGACCTTCTATGTTCCTGTAGGAGGCATTCAGACATCGTAGTTCGTCAGTTAAAGGTATTTTACGTTTATTAGGTAAGCATAAAATGTAATATTTGCGTAAGAAATACGTATTTACCATTTGTAATGCCAACATTCTTTGCAACTGTGACATTTTCTTGTCTTTTGTCAATTCTTTCTGTGTTCAAACGTTTAATAGGTTTTTACTGCCATCTTCGCACTCATCGCCATTAAACCTTATATCCTACAAAGTTTAAGAATTTTTTTCCCTATTAGTGCATGTCTTAAACTATTAACGTCACTGATCATCTCGGTTAAGTGCTCTAGCGGAACAAATCCTAACTTTATTGACTGAATGTTTTCATTTTTTTTCTTCAGTTATTCCATAATTATTTTCGTTTACACCAAAAATGCAACTGTATCGTCTTCTCCCACATTCTTCGATATTCGTGATTTGAACTTATTCATTACACACACATATTTTAATATTTAATTTTCTTTTTATTCCAAACGAAGCCATTTGCAAACGAAATGTATGTTACAGTGTAATAATTTGAAGGTTTTAACTACGAGTGCTAATATTATTCATATTATGATGCTGAACTTCTCAGTTCTGTTAAAATTTATATGCATTTCAAGAATGTTTAAATACTTCGAATGTGGTATTTAAAAACGGATTAAAATGGGTAAATAACTTTTAAATCATTCTGCATTATTCTACCAATTTAAAGAGGATCGTATGCCTAAACAAAGCCGTTCTGAATTTTGATGACGTTTATAGTAGTTAGGAATCAGTTGTTGTTTGCTAAATTGATGAGCCTTATCGCCTCAATTTCCGGGGATAATGATCCACTTGTCAGAAGAGCGATTTCCGCTACGGTAAATGACGAAGAGATCTGTTTGGTCTTTCAATGATGATGCAGTCGTATGTACCAAGATAACGCTTTGATAAAAGCAACATGTTGCATGAATTTGTAGGCTTATATGGAGAGCTTCCAAATTCACGCTGTGCAGCTTGTAATCATGTCGCAACTGTTTCAGATTCAAAACGCCTCCCTCCTTAACCCTTCCATTCATACCATATGGCACAACACATTTCCGTACCGTAATATTAATATTCAGAATTCGGTTTACTGTTATTGGTAAATCGTTTATCCACTGTGGTAGGAAAATGTTACGTAATACTGAACTTTAATTGGAAAAAGTTACTTTGTGATAACTATTTTGATTCATTTATCAGAGGTCGCTAGATCGAATGCAGAGACCACCCATTCTGATTTTTAAAGATGATTTGGGATCTTTAAACAACGTTGTACGTTCGACTTTAAGGTAAATATTTGACTTCGAATGAAATTTCAATGTTTATTTCTTGGTTCATGTAACGATACTGCATCAGTTGAACTGGTTATTAAGCGTTGAATAAAATTATATAATCATTCAACTAATTATATAAACAGTGTAATAACGTATCTGATTCCCATTCAGCAGACCGATAGATTCAGTCTCAAAAAAGCACACCCTAATTTTTTACTTGTAATTACAGAATGACTAACATTTCCGGGGTTCGATCCCCAACAGAGGCAGAGGATCTAGTCTCTAGCCCCTGCATCCAGACCGGCTTTGAGACCGGACCCAACTTTCTGTCAGTGGGTACCGGGTCCTTTCCCGGGGGTAAAGCTGGTCGTAGAGTGACACTGACCCCTGACCCCTATCTAGTGGCAAGGATAAAAATGAGTAGGAGCTGTACATTTTCTCCCCACAAGCGCCTTCATGGCGTGGAAAAGGACAGCCTTACTTTTATGTGTTCTGTTAACTAATTTGTCCCGCAAATTCGAAATATGTGTAAAGCATTGGCTTTCGTAGTTTACTTAATACGATGTTTCATTAGGACTGGCTCTGGGCTGGGTGACGGACGAACAAACGTTCATATCTGTCTCGATGTCCATCCAGTACATTCAGTGGGCTACCAGGAAAACTCCTTCCGCCTAGAAATAAAGTTCACAAGGTCTGCATTGAACCTGAAATAAATGATACTTTAAAATGTTCTCTGAAAATCTGGGCTATAAACATCTGATATACAAATATACGCCCATGCTAGCAAATCTTGCAGCATGGAGGCCATTTCAACATGAACTCAACACACCATTTGCTTACAATTCTGATTAAACTTAGTCATGGAGGAAGGAAAGGGCCATTAAACATTGCACACATTTGTGAGTTGGTTCTGTTCTCTTATTGGGTGTATCTTGAGTTAATGACCGTAACAATTGCCCTATGTGATTCCAGCACTGTACAAAATCCCACTCTCAGTCCTCCTTACTACTTCACAAAGAGATAATGCGTGAACAATTCAGTATTGTATTAACAATTCATTGAAAACTTAAGACACTTTTTTATTTTTAATAACCGCAATTAGTTTCCATTTGTTAGTCCAGTTTTGTAAATCGAAGAAAAATCTACGCCGTCACTATGATTAAATAAATATGAACAAATAATATTTCTGCGATAGTGCCTGCACATAAACAAAGTCTGATGAATGTGTGTTTAGTAAGTGGTGGTAAGTGTAAACATTATAATTTTATTTACTAAACACAAGTGAGAGATCAGCAAAATATTGTAGTAGTTTTACCCGCTGTCAGATCGGCTCCCCATTGTAGAACATTGGGTTAGAGGCATCGTTATCTCTAGAACCATTATGAACATGCGATTCCAATCAACCAAGCAGGGAATAGAACTAAGAACCTCCAAATTGTAGCATCGTAAACAAGCGAGCAAACGATGAAATTAATTTGCTGTGTGAAAACTAAAGTACAAATTGAAGCGATAGACATCATTCAATTTCGCAACTGTTTTTAAATCTTACTAAATAAAGCTGCTGGTCCATTTGGACACGCTACATTAGACGGCCACAGTATTAGACCGAGCGAACTAGGAGTCGTGGGTACAATCCTGCCTAGGGCAAAAATTTATTCACACGTGAGACTTATAGTTTTTCGTGATAGTCATTGTTTATTAGGGACTCATCTGAATAAATTGCCGTATCAAAATCTTATAATCCAGAGCAAACCTTGAGGATGGTGGGAATAACGTAACATAGTTTAGTTTTTACAACCTCGTTACGGTGTGATACCTGGAAGACTTTATTACGAAGAGACCAAATATATTTTTCGTACGTTCTTTGTCGTAGCTTATCATCCTCCTAGTTACCGTGATTACTCATTCTTCAGCGTTTTAGTAAAAAAGTCCAAAGGGACGTGAGCGTTCGGAAAACTTGGTTAATATTAAAATGTACATTAAGAAAGTGCGAGAGTGTGGATGTGATTAAACAGTTTTTCATATTATAACACCCTTCGAGTAAACTGAATCAATGGAAAAATATAATTTCAATATAAATCGATTTCAGCCAATATGTTCTTATCACGAAAAATAAAATACCTGTGTTTTAAATTTAAATTAACTGACTTTTGATAAAAAATACAACATTTTTAAATGAATAGAGGTAACGCTGTACTGACGAACAGTTAATATGGAAGAGAGTTGTGGCATTTTATTAAGTGAGCGTTATGAGCCTTAGTATTTGCATTGATCTGGCAGTTATCTATATTTTAACTAAAATATCTGCAAATGCACAATTTGAATCATGTTAGGGACACAGGGTTAAGCCATTTACAAATCCATGAAGTGGAATATTTCCTGCAAATAGTCTATGCTACTGCTACGAACATTTTACAGCCTGAGGCTTCTCTTTTTTAGTTCATGGAGTCTTGAAAGTTGAAGGGATAGGTCTGATGTATATCTATGTTGCAACGGTAGCAAAAGCCCCATTTAATTTTCGCCTGGATAAACCCACGGTTGTTTATGAATTTCATTTGCTTGTGTAGGTGCACTTGTATTCTTTCTGTTATGTGCAGACCCGCCCTCCGTGACAGTTCAGCTCGAGTCCAATATCGACCTGAATACAGTCAAAGAAGGGGATGATGCGCTATTGTCGTGTGAGGTGAGAGCCAACCCGCAGCCCGAATCAAACTCTGTCACTTGGTACCACGGGGTAAGTTTCAGATGTTCTCAGTCAGTAATAACAACTCTCTTACTGAAGAGTAGTTATCTGTGCAAAGTTACGACTCTAAGTAAACAACAGTTTGGGAAAATAAGCGCACCCTCGAATGTGTTCACTTCTCATTAAACTTTCACTTCATTCAGTCTTAGCTTGATATCAAAATAAACACATTTAAAGCTAATATTGTTTCCTTGTTTTAAGGAAACGCTAGGAAGTTCACAGCTTAACGCACGAGACACTGGATATTTATTCCATTATATTTTTACAAATTATTTACGTAGGTGCAATTACTTTGTGATACCGTGAGGAGACAGGACTTAATGCTGACATCAGGCGAACAGCAATAGATGATTACGAATCAGCTACGTGGTTCTCCACAATTTCATACAAGGCAATTAGAGGATGTCAACATTGCGTCTTTTGTATGGCTAAAACGACTCATTCGACATTGATTTTCGAATCGTGATCTATGAGCTGCTTGTCGTGAACTTTTTAATGGTGCTGTTTAGTCTATACGGTGGAATGTCGGGACAGTTCCACGAAGTGGACTAAGGCGGCCTCACAGAGAATTTCTTCGTCGTTTCTATAACGTTATATAATCGCAGTGAATGCATTGCATGGTATTCTTAAGTAACGTACGTTGTGGTGAACTATGAGACCATTTCTATTTATTTTCTTATTTAACTACGATTTATTATAAATTATCCTTATAAAATTTTATAAATAATGTACTTTATCTTTTACATATTCCCGTTGTGGTATGTAACATAGTTTATGTGTAATTTTAGCTGTCAATTACAGATATATTTTGTTATTTTTTCCTTAACGCGAAATGTTTTGTTGCATTCATTTTTTATGGTGATGGGTTTTTGTCATATTGTATGGTACTAAAATTTGAAAATTATCGTGATACTCAGAAGAATCGTCGCCAGATATTACAAATGTTTTTAATTAGTTCAGAATTGTTAAATAAAGCATTCAGTGAAAATAAGCACTCAAATATTTAGTTGAATATGATATTTGTTAAAGACCCACCGTTACAACAAAGCAAATTTTGAAAAACTGTGAATCCCTTTTACAAAGTAAATGTGTCTGAAGGAAACCGCCGTAGCATAACTAAGAATTGTGTGGCCCACACGGTTTGTGTTCTTAGGCATTACTAACGTTGTTTTCAGAGATCATCTTCTGTCTCATAACGTAAGATTCTGGGCCTGCGTCAGATATCAAAAATCAAAATTCCGCATTTTTATCACCGCGAATTATCAAATCACAGTTACTCGAACACCTTCGCCATTATGCCACCTACAGTTCTGCTTTTCAGTATCTCCCACCGTTCTGTCTTTCAAGTTGTTGGCCGTTTGGTTAAAATACCCATTACTGTTCAACCAAGGAAACCAGATTGGAGATCAACAGCATTGGTCATTTATGTGTTGACTTACAGAGTAGCAGTAAAGTGCAGCTCTGAGAGAATGATGAATCACGCGACTGCTCGAAATGCCACATATGTTAAGGCGTGGGGGGTCTAAGATAAGGAAGAATTAAGCAAGTAGTCCTAGTTAGTCACTTCATGAACAGAGATTAATTTTGTAGGAATGTAGCTACTGGCTACACAATGGAATCAAATTTTCGTAGGAAAAAATAGCGCCGAATTTTGCAGGGATATATTTCATGATCATAAATATTCTAAAGATGCGTCACTTGTTAGTGAGATTTAAATTTACAAGCAATGAGTCTCAAATGTATGAAAAGCTTTTGGGAGTGTGTAAGGAAACTGTAAGTGCCCATAAGATTCGTCCGTTGTGTTTGTCTGTCTGTTTTCAAGCATTCAAAGCCCATTGGATAATTAGATTTCATATTGAATAAAATTGGGTGCGTATTTAAATAAAGGAAGAATAAAAGAATGTATCTTTCACATGCGTTGCAAGCGAGCAAAAAGGATAGGAAATAAATCCGGGCGAACAGAAGGAGATAACGGAACAGAAACGATAAGGAAATAGAAAAAACACGAAATAATCGTTGACGTTGGATTTCAACGGGCTTTTATACCAGTTAGTAATAAATGGCACACAAATGAATTAAGTTACAACTAATTTACTGGCTTCCCCTGTCTGTCTTCCTCTGACATTTGATATTTATTCAGTCTATTGACCCGTGTCTTTACCAAACTAATATAAATAGTCGATATATGAAGCAGTTCGATGCCCTGCTCGGTTACGATGAGAACGCGACGCGAGCGTGCTCTGCTGGATACGAGTGGCACTTGACGGATGGCACTGGCACGTAGTTCCACAAATGTTCGTCACGTAAGGCACATAAATTTAAGTTGACTGTTTCTACAAGAAATTCGTTTGCAGAGGTTGCGTTATCCCACAGAGTACTGTTAAAAGTCATTTGAATACTCCGGTATAATGAGAAATGCCAGCATTACCTGTGCAATTGTCAACATTCGTCCAAAGACAAGAAGGATCCTTCAGACTGATACATATTTTCATGTCAGAATTGTAAATGGTAACATGTCTTATAAGACGTCATAATTAGATCATGTTTCTTGTTATTTCGTTTTTTTTTTCACTTTTATCACAGAGACTAATGACCACTGTCTCCATGAAGCAGTATTTTTTAGATTTTCAGTTGGGGAGAGTACGAATAATCCACCATAACCTAGACGCCTTCTTCTCTCAACACTTTTAAATTTCTCTATATGGAAAAGCACAAGAAGCAATTCTACTGATCAGCATGTCATTAGATGGACTTCTGTCGGGTTCAAGGAGGTGAATTAACCCACCGTCTGATAATAGAATTAGAAGGTTCTACACTAGAAATAACGCACTCCACTTCAAACGAATCTGAACCAGTTCCATCAACTTTCCAATTTGATATTATTTTCTTAGTATAGCACAGTGTTTAAAATAGCCTAATTTCGAACATCATAATAAGGAAACCGGACGATACTCGATATTTCTGAGTTTTCGTGGATCTATATGTCTCAATGTATTTTAGCTCGTATATCTGTTTTGCGCACGACTAGAACCCCTTAATCACATGCTGCTGAATATACTAACGTCATGTATCGAAGTTATTTTCAATCTAAATGGTGTGGTTAAAAAATCTATAAATTAATAAATGTAAGGTTTAGTGAGTCACTGTATTGGCTTCATCTCAGGATCATCCTAAATGCTAATGATCACCTACAGACCGCACAGAGTCACATTACAGAAGACCATCATCGACGTCTTGATCTATGTGCCATGTTAACTTGGCAGTGAACGGGGAATGTCTTTTCGCCCATGTACATAGGGCGTGCATGGGAGGGCTCAAAAGTGACAGTGTGGATTGTTACTCCAATTTTTGCGCGTACATTACAATTTTTTTGCAAACTTAAAATCTCTTGGCTAATACATATAGATTTTCTGTCGTAATTTGTGTCCGTGTTCCAGGAACAGAGCTTAAAACTGTAAAAAAACAATTAAATTTTAGACATATCGAACATGAATAGTTCCAGTACTTGATATATCTGTCTTTGATAAAAAAAAAGCACAATTTGTCCTCGAAATTCAATGTCGTAATGTACTACGAAAAGCGTCTCGATAAGTGTCATCTGCCCGTTTGAGTCACGACATTGGAAAAGGGGGGGGGGGAGCAGACAAGTCGTTGTGCCCGAAACACTGAACTCCAAGTCTGTCACTTGCTTTCGAAGCGATATGGTGTACAGAAATTGGCTACTTCAGTGATTCATACGTTCAGATTGGCCCTAGACTTCAATTTTTCCGGAAGTCTGCAAACTTAAATCATGTTCATATATTTATGTGTTATTCTTGCTTTGCAATGTATTTAGTCCACCTTTATCATAACTTGATGATTCCAACAACAAAGCATTCTTTTGTTGACTGCGTAACATGGATTGCTCGTTTTCCATAAAGCATTTGTTGGCCTCTCCATAAATGGTCGAAATATGTCAAAATCACACGGAGACAATGTCCTCAGCATTACATGTCCATTCTGACAGAGAAGCTACACGGAAAGCTGTTTGTGTTTGCAATCAAGTTATTATGACAAATTAAACACTAAATTAAATTGCAAACTGCTAGCTGCCCATCCGTTCTCAACTCTATACCTAATACATATTTAATTTCAAAAAGAAATGCATATGTTTGCAAAGAAATCTCTTGCTACTTGAAGCCGATATTAATACTCTTCAATTACTTTACTTTGTTTCATTTTATTTTATAAAATAAGAATACCTTCATGACTCACAATCGATTCCACATTCCAGTACACAATTTATTTTGTATCACTTACCTTTGACATCTTGCTGTAGAAAACCAATATCATTACGATCAATTGAGAGGACTGAATGGTAGTATACGAGTTATACATGCTGGTAAAACAAATTGTATGCATAATCCGTCGATTTGTCTACAAGAGTCCGGTGTCAAATTCAGGTACATTGTCTTTCATTGCTTTCTGTAGACAAGCCTAATGTAAATTCCGATGCAAATTATTTTTAACTGTGGCTTAAAATTGTCGATATTACTAGCTTTTATTTGCGTATTACCGTTTTTTGTAAATATTTGCTCCGAGTTAAAAAAACCCGAATGCATTCGGTCACCACTTAATCAATTTCTGGAAATGTTTTTCATCATGTTTATCGAGAAAAAAACAATAATTTCCCGTTTCATATTGTGACAACATGCAGCACACATCTAATTATTCAAAACTGTAATTGACATTTGGAACTTTTTACTGACAAGTGTACTTACGTACAGCTATCATGTGCACCTGTGGTCCTTTGCACGAATGCAAATTTGAATTAAAAATTTTTCAATGAAAATACTTGTTTAAAGTATGTGTGAAATGCGGTCATGTAGACATAAAGGCCACGAGACAAACGAGGGCCAGATAATAGTCAGAAATATTTAACTTTAGGTTTATATTCTCTCATACATACGAGTAATAACAGAGTATTTTCTGCAGATTCCTATTCTACCATT